AATCCAGAACTGAAACAATGCCTAAGAACAAGTGACTCCCATTTTCTTGCAATTACTTCCTACTATCTCTTTGTTTTGAATCATGTAAGAGCGGGAGAGTTAACAGAATAACAGAATTACAGATTTGGACGGTATCTCGGAAGTCTTCTAGTCCATCCCCTTCTCAAGCAGGAAACCTTACACCATTTCAGAGAAATGGCTGTCCAATCTCTTCTTAAAAACCTCCAGTGTTGGAGCACCGACAACTTCCGGAGGCAAGTTGTTCCACTGATTAATTGTTCTAATTGTCAGGAAATTTCTTCTTAGTTCTAGGTTGGTTCCCTCCTTGATTAGTTTCCATCTGAAGTTCACCAGCTCTGAAGATAGTCTGTTCCATTATTGAACAGTTCTTACTTTTAGGGCATTCTTTCCAATTTGCAGCTAAAATTTAGTTTGTAACTCAATTAATCCTTTATTTCTTGTCCTGCCTTCAACTGCTTTGAATAATAACCTCCTTATAGGTAACATCTTGTTTTATAATAATAATAAAGTTGGAAGGGACCTTGGAGGTCATCTAGTCCAACCCCCTGCTCAGGCAGGAAACCCTATACCATGACAAATGGCTGTCCAATCTCTTCTTAAAAACTTCCAGGTAACATATTTCAGATGCTTGAAGACAATTGTCATGTATCCCTGCAATCTTCTCCAGACTAAGTACACTTGATATCTCCAACCATTCCTCCACCTTGGTTGCTTTCCTCTGGACACACTCCAGTCTGTTAATATCCTTTCTAAAATATAATGTCTAGACCTGAACGCAATATTCTAGGAACCGGCTGACCAATGCAGAATATACAAAAGCAATGACTTCTCTTGATATTGATGCTATTTTTCTGTGGATGCAACAGGATTACACGTAATTTTTTGGGTAGCTGCATCATATGATTGGCTCATACTCCGCTTGTGAGTCCCCAAGACACCCAGTTCCTATTTGCATATGCTGCTCTTCCTGATCCTATATTCACGCCTTTGATTTTTCCTACCCATATCCAAATTTGAGATTTGTCCTAGTTGAAATTCAGTTTGCTTCTTTCTGCCTGATGTGTTCCTTCTGATCCTTCAAAATCTTGATATGATCCTTTGTGTCATTTGTTAAGTCCCATATCCATCACCACTTAACAGGTTTTGTGGTTTTGTTTCTTAAAATGCCAACAACACAGCGTCTAGAATGGACCTCTCCTTTTTGCCTTTTGATTCTTCAGCTTCACACGAAACCCTTGATAACAACACTCATCAGCAGTTGTTCAACTTGCTGTCTGTCTATTCAATGGTGCTCTAGTCCAGTGTGCGTTACTTTTTTTCCTGCCAGAATCTTACACTTAATAATCTGTTCCAGAATTTTCTTCTCAGCTGTTGTCATCCCTCCCACTTGAGACAAGAATTTAGCTTTTGTTTAGATGAAGCTGATCTAGGCAACCTGATCCTTAAATCTGATCTGGAACCAAGTAGGAGTAGATAGCTACTTGGATCTTGCTTGCATTGATAGGTTTTGTTTTCCTGTTAACCTAGACTCAGTTGTTTCATGTGTGTTTCTGTATGTAAAGCAGGAGTATATTCTTTGATCATTCAGCAGGCAGGGCTGTGGAGTCGGTAGATAAATGTTCCGACTCCGACTCCTCAGTTTTTTGTACTTCCGACTCCGACTCCCCGACTCCTCTGTATTAATATGCGAATGTATTTTATACATTCCATGCACATGAAAAGCATGCTTCTTCACGGTCACTTAACGTGTTCGTTTTGCGGTTACGTGAGGCACTGCATGCATTGGTCTTTATTCTTACAGTAGAGAAGTCATTAATTATAACTTTTTGTGAATTGGGACATTTAAACTTGCTTTTTTTAAAAATTCCAATCTAAATTTAGTAGGAGTCAGAGTCGGTGCATTGTTTGCCGACTCCGACTTCGACTCCAGGTACCCAAAATTTACTCCGACTCCTCGACTCCGACTCCGACTCCACAGCCCTGTCAGCAGGTAATGGAAAGTGATCAGGAGAGTACAATCTTGATAAACAGTGAGCTCTTAACAAGGCCACATAGTTAGCAAGGCCCAGGTAATTCACATCAGTCTCTGCAGCCTACATAGATTCATATCTTGGATAACAGCACCCAGCTCTCTGGGCCATGAAGTTGATGAAGCTCCAACAAAATATTTGGAGATTATCAGATCATCCCTTCCTGCCATACATTTTAGGCCATCAAAAAAAAACTAGCCCATAATGGATCACAAAGTATCTGCTGGCCATCAGCAATCATTCTAATCAGGCCTTGAACTTTTCAACCAACCCCTTGGTGCCCAGATCTGTATCTCCGACTTTTCCCCTCCCCTCTTACTCAGTGAAAAGTTGTTTGGGATTCTTAACAGAGCAAATGAAAAGTTTTCCATTAACCAAGGCCAGAGCCAGAGGGACATTGTCTGACTTCAGATGGCAAGTTTGAGGTCTAGCAGTGTTTCTCAACCTCAGCAATTTTAAGATGTGTGGACTTCAACTCCCAAAATTCTCCAGCCAGCATGCTGGCTGAGGAATTCTGGGACTTGAAGTCCACAAATCATAAAGTTGTTGAGGTTGAGAAACACTGGTCTAAGGGTACCTATGAGTTTATTTCTGGATATTATACAGTGACCTTGGGAAGCAGGCATGTCTATCCAGAGCAAGGTCTGGGTTTGAGCTAAAAAAACAACAACCCAAAAACAGTTCCCTTGTAGGTTTGGGGATGTAAATTTGGGACACAGAGGGGATGTTTTTTTGGTAATTTCCTACCTCCTTCACACACACAAAAAAAGGTTTGTTGCCTTTTAACATTGGAATCTGCCTTAGACTTTCTGTTTCTCTTTCTTCAGATTTGTCTCACAGGCAAATAGGACTTTGATTACTCAGCCTCTTAAGAGTTCCTTCCCTAGTTTGCGGAGTGAACATGACTAAATATCACTGCTTTTGCAGAGGTTTTAAGACTCTTGAGGATTCGTTCTTTTAAAGGCACCCTGTTTATTGATGGCAAAAAACCAGAAAGCAGTATATTACTTTTTTCTGTGTTGTATGATAACGGAGTATTTAGAGTTTTACGTTATTAAGATAAAGAGTATGAAAAAAAAATTACCTTTGAATGGAAGTTTGTGGGACTTTAGTAATGTGGAGGAATAGTCAAAATTGGGCTGATCATTTTCAAAGGGCTTTTGGACTACTGTATTTTGGATTGCCTATTGGGCCACTTCATTCGGTTGCTTTTGTACAGATGAAGGTTACATTCCCGCACAAATAAATAAGACTTATGGTTTGGGTTTGATGGTTCACAGTGCAGTTTTTTAACATCCTCATGCTGTTGCATTCAGAAAACCTGGATCAACTCTTGTTTGTTGCAAGAGAGGTCTTGCAGACTACTTTATCTATGTGTAGTGGAATGCAGATAAAAAGGTTTAAGATTTTGAATTCCAATGGAACATGAGCTGAGCTGCATTTCCTGGCTAATGTGCAGGTGTGAACATTTGTTGGTGTTGTTATATACCTCTTTGAAGTTTGCAGATCAACTATAAAACTAAATGTGCTTAATTCTAGAATAAAAATACATTTGGAAAATCATACGCTTTGAGAAGATACACTCAAGACTGTATGTTTAGATGGATTTTTCCCCCCTAGCTATTTGTGTAAAATGTAGATTAAAAACAAAACATAGTAGAATGCATGTAAGAATAAATACTCAGTAACACCGTCCAGAAATTATCTGCTTTTTCCTATTCATTGGGATGAATCACTCCAGGATCTTGCTCAAAAGCTCAGCAATTATAACTTTCTTGGTTAAATTCAGCATGGAGAATGAGTTCACACGGCTAATGTGTTGTAACAAAATATGTGGGGCTACTTTCAAGATAATCACACCTTAGCTCTGCATATCCAGTCCTATTGCACTAACTCATAGAAGCACACGTGGCTTGTAGAGTGCAATCTATATTCCCGCTCCGAAGCACCCAAGGGGTCCCGTGGCTCCTGAGTGTAGTTCATAAATTTAGAGATTTAGGTAATTGAACAACAAACACAACAAAATTCCATTTCTTAAGATTTATCCTGGCAGTAAGGGAAAAAACAGTAGTTAATGTGGTAACATACATGTAATCCTCAACTTAACCGTTCTTTTAGTAACCGTTCAAAGTTAAAACGGCACTGTGAAAAAAGTGACTTATGACCGTTTTTCACACTTATGATTGTTGCAGCATCCCCAGGGTCACATGATCAAAATTCGGACGCTTGGCAACTGGCTCCTATTTATGATGGTTACAGTGTCCCGGGGGGAGGGTCATGTGTTTCCATTTCGTGACCTTCTGACAAGCAAAAAACAAGGGGGCAGCCAGATTCACTTAACAGCCGTGTGACTAACTTAACTGCAGTGATTCACTTAACAGCTGTGGCGAGAAAGGTCGTAAAATGGGGCAAAATTCACTTAACAAGTGTCTAGGGTTGCCAGGTCTGCTTCCAAAAAATAGCGGACAAGCGGGGGGGGGGG